TCCTGCAGGGGGCTGACTCAGGTGTGGATGTGCAGCAGCAGCAGGGTCAGTACCATCACACACTGTTTAAATCTGCAGCACACGGTGCAGCAGCCGGCCAATGTTTCAGCCAATCGATAAATTGTTGACACTTGTTGATAATAATTTTGTTTTGTAGTTGTAGAGACGATGGACTGAATGTTTGTCCCAGAGTGTTTGTGTCCCACTGCTGTGAAGCTGCAGGCCATGGTTTATATGATTCCTTCATTTCTAACAAACTTTCCTGTGAGTAAATACTGATAATATAATGAGTATATATACGATGAGTATATATTTAATGAGTATTTATGGAGACAGACTCTCGTACTCTGAGTCACTTTGCACTGTGATGCTGTTTACAATGACTTGAGGCCACACTGGTGAAGAAAAACCTAAGCTCCTAAACTCAAAGTTAAGACGAGGGAGGATCTCCTCTCTGATGGTTATTTCACATTGTGGTCTCTGGACGAGGTATATATTTATTTAGCTTATTTCTGCTTAGCGTTCCATGCAAATAATTTGTTTTTTTTATTATTTATTCAATTGTAGATTGTGTTATTGGTTCAGAAGAACTGTGTTTAAACACAAACAGAGATTCATTCCGATCTCTTATGTGTGAGCTAATGTGTAAACTACTGCACCTTATTTACTTCCCCGCTCCTGTGTGCTAAAGAAGCTGTTTAAAGTTGTTTTTTTGCTTTAGAGGTTGGTTCTCAGGTTTTGGATTTCTCATGTGAAAAAAATTCCCTCTTTCCTTAACATTCATTCATTCATTCTGATTTGCACTGAGACGTCAGTTGGAAATAAAAAAAAAAAGGACGACCATGGGTTTTGGCCTTTTTCTTAAATAGTCAGTTGATTTATTTTTCAGTTTGGTCTCGTGTGTCTGTGTGGAGCTCATATCACAGCCAGTGATGAACTCTCTGCTGCAGTTATGTTGACCGGGCGCTCCCTCGTGGTGAAGACTGGTGGTGCAAATATGGTGAAGTCGTTTCTGCTGTATGCAAATGAACAAGACAAAACTCACAAACCAAACCTAATCCTGATGTTTCACAATTTCATCTTAATTCCTTTTTTAAAAAAATGTAATATTTACCAAAGAAAGTACAAGTACCACAGTGGATGGTGTGTTTCCAGCAGTGGTAATGTTAGTGCAATGTGCTAAAATGGGATAAAGACACATTAGTACCATAAAAGAGCAGAAGAATAAGATGAGATAAGATAAGATTTACTTTATTCATCTGACGCTGGGGAAATTTCAACATTACAGCAGCAGAAGGGCATTAGGAGACAATGAGCAGAAAGACGACGTCTGCGAGCTGACAGACCGACTCGAGGATGAACAGGTTGAGTTTGCATGCGGGTTGATTAAACAGAAAAG